TAAGACCTTTGAGATTATGAGCTTCCCTCCCTTGGCCTTGTACATATAGCCATTCTTGTCAAAAGTGCCGAGGGAGATGAGATTCTTCTTCAACTTTGGTATGTGCCTAACCATACCTAATGTCCTAACCATGTCTTCATGCATCTCCATCTTAATTGTACCCATTCCTTCGACTCTACAAACCACGCCGTCCCTCATCATAACTTCATTGTCGTAGTCCACCTCGTACATGTCAAACCAAGATTTGTTTGAACACATATGATATGAGCACCCGAAATCCAAAATCCAATCAAAAGATGAAACCCAGGAAGAGATAGCAAGTGCATCAGTATTAACAATGCTATTAGTAAATAAAAGCTCACAATCGCTATCCTCTGCAACTCCGGCTTCTTCCCTTTGTTTTTTTTTCCCTCTCTATGGAGGACAATTCTTCTTCCAATGACCTTTTGACCAACATTCAAAACAATTGTCTTTCGCCTTGTATTTTGATCTTCCCCTATTGCTCTTCTTTCCTTCGCGCTTGCTCGATCGACCTCTCTCTCCGGACTTTGGTACAAGACCTTCACCTTGAGAGGCAGCTCCAAAAAGTTGAACCATTTTGTCATGCGTCAGAATATCTTGCATGACCTCTTCATACTTCAAGGTTTCCTTCCCGAACATAAGTGTCATGCGGAAGTGTTTATAAGACGATGGCAGGGATGTCAATAACATCATAGCCTTATCTTACGATTTATAAACCTTATCCATCCTCTGCAAGTGAGTAATACACATATTAAAGGCGCTCACTTGCTGCATCATGCTTGCTCACACCTCCATCTTTAGAGAGTGAAGCTCCTCCTTCAAGAAGAGCTTGTTCGACAACGATTTGGCTGCAAACATCTCTTTGAGTTTCTCCCATGTTTGCTTCACGGTGTCTTCCATCTCATTACATAACACCTCATTGGTTAGATGTTATTCAATTGATCCTCTAGCAAGCTCTTCTAGGTCCTCCCAATCCACATCCATCATGGTTACCAGTATCTTTTCCTTGCCTGCCAAGACTTTGCTAAGACCTTGCTACTTAAGGACATGCTTCATCCTTCTTTGCCAAAGCGTGAAGTACTTCTTGCCCGTGAACGGCTTCAACTCCACCTTCATACTCGACACACGTGGAACTTTCTCCCTCCTTGTCACCTGCCATCGTCAACACACTATCACTCTTAAAGTTGTAAGATCACTTAGGCATAAACTAATACATGCCGCAACTATGCTCTAATACCACTTGTTATGCGAAAACACTCCAAGACCTTATCGTAATGGACTACACAACTATCACACACAAGCCACACAAAGATAAAGAGCACACCAACTGAAAAGTAAACACGCACACAAAGAACACAAGAATTTATAGAGGTTCAGCGTTTTGCCTACGTCCTCTTAGTGATCCCTGAGAAATTCACTAGTATGAAAGAACCACTTTGGTTACAATGAAGAATCCCCTTTGATCTCTCACAAACCCGAGATCTCTTCTCTCACCCTTGGCTCAAACCCAAGTTGATACCTTAGCTTTCTCACGTTACAATAACCTATGGCTAAATTGCCTATTTATATGTCATAGGGATTTAGTACAATTATACAAGGAATATGAAACTTAAAGGACTCCAAAACTATGAGAAAATATGTCTAGATTCGCCAAGAATACGTGCTAGATTTGCGCCTCCCGCTCAAGCTCCACTTGCGCCGCTCGAGCGCCTATGTCCGCTTGAGTCTGAGTTCTGACGCTCGACCTAGCGCTCGAGCACCTGTGTCTGGGCAAGAAGTACCCCTATGCTGCTTGAGTGCTTGTAATTTCTGCTCGGCAGCAGAGCCCAGTCAAAACTAATGCAACTATTTTGATCGTATGTTTCCTTCAGTCCTTTCACATCTTTAGGTGAGCCAACATCAACAGACATGTGTGTAAAGATTTTTCTTTCGGTGTTTTTGATAAATTATTTTTGCATATGTGTTAAACTGTGATTTGCAGAAAATAAGAATGTCTTCTTCTGGGGAATGAGGGAAGCTATGTCCCTTTTTAATTACGTAGCCTTTCTGCCAAAATCATAGTTCTCTTCCTCATCTAATGGGTTTTTTAGATTATGTTTTTGTTTTTGTTTTGATGGGTAATGATTCAAGTTTTTGCTTTGTTTCATTTTAGTGGCTCTCCTCATTCTCAATTATTTGAGCCTTGTAATTTGGAAGAGAGAGTTAACGAATTGAGATTTAAAAGGGAGCAGAAGACTAAAGGTTTAGACCAAAAAAAGAAAATGTGGATTGCAAGTGAGGATTGAAGGGAGGTCAATCATGGGGCATGGGGAGGATTGAAGGTTCAGACCAAGAAAAGAAAGGAGGAGGAGCATTTCAAGGGAGAGAATGGAGGGGAATAGGAAAGGAGAAGTCAAAATGCTTGACAGGTGGTGGCATTTATTGCGTTGAGATATTGATGTGATTTGCTGACTTGATGTACCTGTGCCAAGGAAGTTTTTCTGCATTCGATGCCTGGTGGGTGCCTCATATTTATTTAAATTTTTGTAACCTAAGCTTCATACTAAGTACCTGTTTAGCATTGATTATTTAGGGGAAAATCACTTTCTTTGAAAGTGACAAGTGTGCCAGGGTGTTTGGTAAAAAGAGAAGAATGTGATTATTTGTGAAATTCGATGTCAACGACAGTAGTTTGGAAAAGCAGGAGTGGAGGTGATTTTTGTTTCCACTTTCTTGAGAATCAGGTTGGAATCGGTCAAGACTTTAATAAATTTTAGCAAACTACCCAACATAGCCTTATTTCTTTTCACAATTTCCACAAAATGCCCTATTGTCTACTTTCTATTCCACATGTTGTGATTCTTTCAATTCTTTTCGCCGTCTACTAGCTTGGCAATGCTAGATTGATTGCATAAAGTCCCAAACTCCAATATTAGTTTTCAGACCCAAAAAAAAAGTCCAATATTTGTTCTATTAAAAATTAAAAATTATGGATTTTTTTCTTACAAATTATAATAGTGTAGAATTTTACAGTCAAAATAGTTTTTCACACATTATTTATTTTATTATTAAAATATTTTTTAAGGTGTGATGGTTAAAAAAACATATTTAAGACAAGAATTATATAAGTGAAAGTAAAATTGCTATTCTTTTTACCAAACACTTGAATAGAAAAGTCATTTCAACATAATGTCTTTTTTAGTCATTATACACAACTCAACACTTTTACACAAACATTACCAAACACTGAGAAATTGATTATTGTACCAAAATCACTTTTAACAAAAAGATTACTAAACGCCAAACTACTTTCTATAACAGTTGATTTCTATCACAGCAAATTTGACTCTGATTATTTTCACAGCACAGCAATGCCAAACTGGCCCTAAGATTATAAATTTTGACCCAAAAAAAAAAAACTAAGATTATAAATGTGCCTAAATAGTTATATTATAAATAGGAGAGAAATTAGCTGATATCGGGTACCAATACATTTTCGGTATAGCAAATATTGACCAAATACTAGTGAAATACCCCCTAACTTGTACCTAAGTTTCAATTAGCCCCATATCCTTTATTTTTTAGAAAATTAAGGATATGAATTATATTTTTTTTTTGCCAATTTCCCCCCTGTCGTCTAAATCATCAACATTTCATCCAATTTTTTGTTAAATCATTAAAAATAAATTTCTTTTTTGGAAAAAAATTTATAAAAAAAAGAGAAGAAAAAAAATATTTGGCCCAGCTCATCTCTATCTCTCTCACTGAATCCTCTGTCAAACCCCAAGCTCACCGGATCTAGAAATACAAATCCACCTTATTCAAACTTTTTACTCTTAAAAATACTGTAGACGTCCGTGAATTATGGCCCCAGTTGCAATTGGGTCCGTGAACTAAATTTTGTGGCAATTTCGTACTTTAATTTGACAATAGGGTGCAATTAGGTCCTGCCGTCCAATTCTGTCAATTTATCTGTCAAAATGAGGGGTAAAAGCGTCCTTTCGCTCTGTCTCTCCCTCTCTCTTTCGCTGTCTCTCCCTCTCTTTCGCTCTGTCTCCAAACCATCGTCTACCGACCACCACCTAGCCATCGCCAAAAACCATCAAGGCACCCATGCCTACTTCTTCGCGAGTTCATAGCTTTGCCGACCAAACCCCTTCCTTGTTGCGAGTTCATAGACTGAGATAGAGAGTGACAGAGACAGACAAAGACAGAGAAAAAGAGAGGAGAGAGAGAGGTTCACAGAGAGACAGCCAAAACCCAGCCTCGACATAAATGACCTCTACCTTCCGCTCTCGCCCAGCCCCCAAAGAATGGAGGGTAGTCAAGGGTCCAAGGGCTGGTCTCGTCAAAGTACCATTGAGAGAGAGGCAGAGAGTGGGTTATAGCAAGCTAGTGGCGATGGACCTCAAAGTCTGTGCTTTTGTAGGCTGGGATCAGAAGCAGCTTTACGCAGGCGGCTGCGGCGATAAACCACCATAGCTCTGTCATGGGCTTGCTGGGTTTTGGAGGTTTTTTCAGTTGCGGGGTGGTTTGTGCTTCCATGGATTTGAAACTTCAGAGAACAACCAGGAATTCGATTCAGCCAAAACTGACTTCAAGAGAAATGAAGGAGAAAGAAAAAGAAAAAAAACCTGAGATTTCAACGCATTTTGAATTTCATTGCTATGAACCCTTGTGTTTTCTAGATTTATTTTGTTTTTGGGTTTTCTTTGTGGCTTGAAATTATGGTTATTTGAGATCTGAAATTGTAGCCATGCTGGGTGTATTTGATTTGGTTGAAAGTATAAAGTTTCAGCTATTTGGGGCTGAGATTTGATGTGGGTATTGAAATTTCAAGTTTGATATTTGTTGGGTAATTGATTTTCTGGACGTTATAGATGAAGATTGAGATGGGTTTAGGAGGTGGGGGTTGGGTTGCGAGAGAGAGGGAGAGAGAGGGAAAGAGAGAGGGATTCTTATTTTTATTATATATTTTTAAGTTTATTTTTTTAATTTATTTATTTTTTCACTTTGTTGAAATAACAAGGCTTTTTCCCTTCAAAAACTTTAGAGAGCTCAGGGTCTTTCCAAAACCCATCAGAAAAATACTTGGTGAAATTTGCATGGCAATACTCTGGAGCACCAATCACTCTCGACCCAGATAAAGAGATCTTCCATAGCTTCTGCACATCATCCACAACTATGACATCAGAGTCGAGATAAATCACTCTCTCCACACAGGGGTCGAGCAAGTCAGCTAAGTAGTTTCTCGCGTAGTTCAATGGGTTGTCGAGAGCTTGTCGAATCGAAGACGAAATCAGATTCTTGACGCGGCTTTCCCTGAACACATAAATTCGGAAACTCAGTGAAGGGAAGGTCGATTGGACAATGCGAGTGAGGTCCTGTAAATTGACTAAACTTGAATCTGAGGCGATGAAGTGGAAGAAGGTGTTTTTTGGGCAAGAAGCGTGCTTGAGAACAAAGTGAACTGCAGCCATGGTGCCTCTCAAGTACTCTGAATCAATGGTCATCGCGACGTGAACAAGCGAGGGATCGCAAGCCAATGCCAAGCTCTTCAAATTCAGACCCAAAACAGGGCAGCTCATGCTCAAAACCCAGTTGCAGGTTGGGTTTGGATTTGGGTTTTGAGGGGGTGGACTAAGGAGGAGGGGGAATGGGTTGCAGGAGAGAGGGAGAGACAGAGAGGAAGAGCTCTGAGAGAGAGGAATTTGGATTTGGATTTTTTATTTTTAAGTTTATTTATTTATTTTATTATTATTATTATTTTCCAGATTTTTTAGTTTTTCTTTTCAGTTTTACAAACTGTATATTATTTATTTACCCCAAAAAAGACGCTTTTACCCCTCATTTTAACAGATAAATTGACAGAATTGGACGGTAGGACCCAATTGCAACTAATTGTCTAATTAAAGGATGTAATTGCCACGAAAATTAGTTCACGGACCCAATTGCAATTGGGGCCATAGTTCACGGACGTCTACAGTAATTAACCCTATAAAGTTATAACGACGATAAATAATTCATAACTGACGTAGTTATCACAACTGCCGAACGACTGTGTATTTTAATAAACCGACGTGGTTACTTTGGGGTTCTGAAAACGACGTCGTTGTCTTTTTAATACTCGCCAAATGACTTTTGGATTTCCGATGTAGTTATGACGGCGCTTGTTTATCTAAACTGACGTTGATTAGTCAAATATGACGTCGCTATGTATATTAGAACCGACGTGGATATTTACGATATTTTGTTTAAATATGATTTTTTCACGCGTTTTTTAACTCTCAGTTTTCAATTAGGGTTGCAGAATGATTCCTCACAAGA